GGGGGGGGGGGAGGGGTGTGGTATACTAGATCGGGAGGGGGAATATTTTTTTGTTGAAAAACGTACCTGCAGTAGTAGTAGGCTCGTGCGTTGCTACCATTGGCCCGTAATCTACACAGCAGTATTACAATATAGTCTATTGATTGAGGTGTTGTTTGTTGTTGTTTTTCACATTAAACTCGTGTCAGTTGCTAATCCCAAAATCTAGCAAAGACTCGGTCCGTGGTCATAAAAATGCTAGAGCCATCAGACGATCTGAAGAACACAAACACTATAAGCAAGAGAAGGGTACACAAGCCCGAGGAGGTACACCTACCTACAATCCCTGCAGCACGTTTGCGTGCTCACAACTGAACTACACGCCCACACACTACAATTCGACTACAGCAGCAGCATCACCCCCTTGTCCCGCATTTAACCAAAATGAATGTTTGTCGACTACAGCGTACTGCTGTCTGAAGTGCTGTCTGTACAATAATAACACCATGGTGCATGGTACACAAGCTCGGGGCATGCAGTTGCTGTCTGAAGTGCTGTCAGAATGAGTCCGTGGACATACAACGAAGAAGAACACCCAACCAGAGCCATCACATCGACACTGACTACGAATCGTTCCACATTCAAGGGGTCTTCCACGATGCAGGTACACAATTATGGCACCCGGGTTATTCGCGCCATCTCTGCCGCGTCTCTCTACAAAACCAGTGACGACGTCATCACACTCACCTTGATAGTAAACGTAATCGACTTCATCAGTCGCGAGGGAAGGGATACTGTACCCTTCTCGCGAAAAAAATATCTCGGACAGGAACCGCAGGAGGGGGTTCAACCCCCCCCTCCTATGTGACCCCGGTTGGGTCGTCTAGCTGGTAGAAGTGGAGGATAGGGGCCAGAGGGGCAGACGACAGAGTCCAACGATGGGAGACAACAAACAAACAAACACCCAACACCTATATTCAGGAAAAACACGGAAAATAATTGACAACACAAGAGTCCGTGCGCCACCGTTCGATGCCGTCCGCATGCTCCGATTCCGCTGCTCCGGTGCCGCTGCTCCGGTGCCGCTGCTCCGGTGCCGCTGCTCCGGTGCCG